AGACTCTAAAAATTTAACCAAATAAAGTTCATTTAGTATACTATAATATGAATCAAAAATCTCATTTTTTGTTGAAAAGTCCCCAAAACCCATTTTTAATAGCAAAGCTCCCAAATTATGACAAATTATTAAAGGTTGCTTACCTCATCTTCTCCATTCACAGATTCTATCTGCTTCAGCATTCTCATTTCAAGAATAACATCATCATAAAATGAAGGACTTTCTATATTTTTATATGGTGGTAGAGAAATAAAAATAAAAAAATTATTCCTTCACATTTTTCTTCCTCTAAAACGAAAATAAATTGATAAATGTTATACAATTAGAAACATTAAAAAATTATGATAAATAAATTTTGCTTACTTCTATCTACAGATACTATTTGTTCAAGCATCATAATTTCAAGGATGACATTCTCATAAAATGGAGGACTTTCTATACTTTCATATGGTGGTGAAGGAATAAAAATAAAAAATATTATTTCTTCACATTTTTCTTCTCCTAAAACGAAAATAAAATAATAAATGTTATACAATAAAAAATTATGATAAATTATTAAAGGTTGCTTACCTCTATCTACTCCATCTACAGATTCTATCTGCTCCAGCATCTTCATTTCAAGAATAACATCCCATAAAATAGAAGAGGAATTTATTGATCTTCTATTAGAATTTGTTGCCACATCAAGTTTATGATACAAATTAAAATAAAAAAATTAACTCTTCACATTTTCTTTCTCACCTTCTGGAACTGGTTAATTTTTAACCTATTAATTAGCTAGTTAAAGAATTTGTTAATCGGTTGTTAACGGTTAAGTATTTTTGGATTGGTTCCAACCTTTAGGAAGACTTTCATAGAAGTTGTTATTGTTATTATAGTAATGGTAATGGTTGCGGTTGTGGTAGTTGTTGTTGTGGTAGCTGCTGTTGTTGTTGTTGTTGTTGTTGTTGCTTTCGAAGCAACCTGCAGGTAGCCGCTTGGCTTCTCTTGAATGGCTTGAATGAAATTTCTGGATTTTGGTATATTTTTAATAAGAAGAAAAAAATAAGTTTAAAAAAATATTTTAAAAAATAGCATTGAATTGTCTAGAAAGTATATATAGTTCGAAACGCTTTATAGAATATGGTATTCTTATCATCACTGGAAAGCAGTTTTGCTATTGAACTTTTAAATATCAAATCAATATAAATAAAGAAGCTGATTTGTAATGGAAGCCTTTATATATCATAATTAATACATATTTTCAGGATATGATCGGGAATTGAATTTTATGTTGATCAAATATGATCATAATACTATTATAATATATAGACTGCAGTTTTACATTAATGTTTTGTTCATGATTTATAATATCTCGTGACTCAATTTTTAATTTAAACGAGCTTTCGAGATTAAAATTTTTGGCAAAGTGATTTGATATCTATTAATTCTTTTTTTAGAGGTTCAGTTTTATCATCATAAAAATTAAAAATGCATAATATTACGAGTCAAAGAACGAGTTAATATATATATATATATATATATTAATTTAACAATACAATTAACCTTTTTTTATTGCAATTAGTAAATAAGAATGTTAATTGGATTGTATTTTGTTCGATTTCACGTGAATATATACACCTAAGAACAACTATTAAAAAATTCTCATATTTACGCATTTTGTGAATTTAATTTAATATAATCATTAATTAGATTTTGATTACATAATACCAATTTCTTTATGTTTAATGCCGCTATTTATCTTTATTATTATTTTTATAATAGAAATTTACATAAAGCACATGATCAATCGAAATTTTTATTGGTTAAAATATTGTTAAATCAATTTAAGTTGCTATTCAATGACTTGATCCAAGTTTATTCGCACTGGTTTATATATGGTATAGTATATCAATATCAGATGATGTTAAAGAATCGAGTAATAAATTAAAACGTGATATTGTGCTTTGCATCGCAAGAGTCTAGACACTAAATTACACAGATTTCAAATTTATTTAAAACTCTAAGTAAAGCATTACTACGCAATCGAGCGGCTAATAATTATTACCGCAGAAAAAAGAACTCTTTTTTTTAAAAAATTTCCAGAGTTTGACGCTAAAAAATTAACTTAGAAAAGCTACCAAAATTAATTTAATGTCAGAGGCAGAAACCCTCGAGCTATAAAGCTACTCTTGAGATTCTTAAGAAGAAAATGTGAAGAAAAATTCAATGAATCATTTTTCAATACTTATCATTTCTATTTCCTAAAGCATCCAGTAACAACATCACCTTCATCAGATAAAGAAATTTTAAGGATTGGAAGCTAAATTAAGAGAGCAAATGTAGAATTTGGAAGGTGGAATAAAAAGAAACAACTTGATGAGTTGTTTAAAAATGTTTTTCATAAAGAACTACAAAGTAAATAATGCTTTTTAGTAAAGTGTTTGCAAAATTTATTATTATTATTTCTCATGTTTTACATTTTGAAAGGAACGGCACCTCCTCCGAGATTTTTGAGGTCGAGGTACTTTAGGAAGAAGGTTCAGTGACTTTCTTGATAAAGATAAGCTAATAATTTTGATAATATTATTGAAATTATTGATATTCTTATAAATTTCATAAATTTTTCTTTTTACACTTTGAAAAGAAATCACCTTCTATTCCTCCAGATGAAGATATTGAAAATTTTATGGAGAAGGTACAAATTTTCGAGTTAAATTCATAACATAAGATTATGAATATCATACTAAGTATGTATCTGCAAAATCTTTGTGACAATGAAACTTTATTATGATTATTACAGTGACAACCAAAAGTATTGCAGATGAAACTTATACTAATTACAAAACTTGACAAAACTATTTTTGCCGAATCTGACATATTGTTTATTCATAAATCGCGATTATCTATGCACAAATTTTAAAAATAGTAATATCTTGTGATTAATATAAAACTTTAATTAATCAGTTTACCTTCGAAAAAAGCATAGAATTGCACGTATGAAATTTGCTAAAAAACACAATTTATGGACATTAGAGGATTGAAATAAAGTTATCTGGTCAGATGAGTCAAAATATATGATTTATAGGTCGGATGGTAGAGAATATTGATGAAGAAACAAAATGAAATGGAAAAATAAAACAAAATTAATAAAAAATAAAGAACCTACCTATTTTTAATCGACGTAAGTGATCAACTCTATTAAAAAAATTAAAACAATTGCAATGCATTATTGATGAAAATCATTTTCATATTAAAATGAACTTCATCATGTAACCATATTTGTATCACTTTATTTTATTTTTGTTCACTTGTTTCATTATACAATATTGATCTAAATTAAGTGATTTTAATAGAATATCAAATATATTATCAGGTTCAATCAATCTTTTCATGCTTTAATTTTTTTTTGATATATACATGAACTTTCGTTTTAAAATTAAGGTATTTTTTAATATCCTTTTAAAAGTATAGACAAATACATAGTTACAACAACATAAATATATGTAAATTTACAAGAAAAAAAAGAATTTCTTAGGTTACAAAGGTTGGATTTCAGATAGTTTATGTAAAATTCAAAAAATCAATTTTTTTATAATAAAATAAAATTCTTATTTTTATTTTAATAAAAGTTTTTAATCTTTAATTTTCTTTCTATTTCATACATTCTAATGCTATATTAAAAATATCAAGGTCATAAGGTAGAGATGCTGCAGTATTTAGAGAATGAAATTTAGCTATAACTTGATCTATTAAAGGCTAAATTGAACATTTTAGAATATAAACATTTTCTAGCATTATTTTGAACAAGAGCTGATGTAGAAATAGGATTGGAAATAAGAGGATCCATGAAAGTTATACAAGGCTGTTTTTTAAGTTTTGGTTTAATTTTGAAGCCTTTCCAATTTTGATTGAAGAAGCAATCAGAACATATTTCAAAATAATTGGTTTTTTTTGATGGACAGCGAGAATCATTAATTAAGTTTGAAACAAAGTAATGTTGAAAAAGACAGGCAGTGCTGGTGAACTATGTTTAAAGATTTTACTAAAGATAGGAATCTCTAGTATTAGAAAATTATAAACTTTATTTTCAGGAGGTATTCACATGATAACCCAATTAGTATAGTTTCTGAAATCATCATTTGAAAAACAAGTATTGATAAAATAAAGAGCTAGTAGTTCAAAATAATATTCAGATTTGAGATAGTTTAAATATATAAGATTAGTTAATACAATTTATTGTAGTCTTTTAAACTATTGAGAAAATGCTTGTCTAATAATTAAGCTAAATATTCTAAGATTGAGATTTAAGAAATTAAGAAAAAATTGGTTAGGAATACTCAGTTATGACAAAAATAGAATATTATGAGATTTTATGTGTGGTAAATTCTTAAAGTTCTATGATATAATTAATTGTAAAGGATGATTATCCACTTTAATATGAAAGAGATCAATCATATTATGATTAGTAACAAATAAGAATTCTGAAGTACAATATGCTATAAGGAAATTAGAAATATAATTATTATGTTTATAATATTGAATTTACTTCAACCAACAAGTAAAAGAATTATTAAATAATCAGAAATATTGTTATAATTGTTTAAGATAAATAATCATAGAAAGTTCTAGCACTAAATTATCATGAGATATGTTAATAGTATTGATAAATTATTATAATTTCGATTATATTGAGATTGAAGAGAGATCATTAAATCTATAAGCAAGTTCACTATGAATTATAGAATTAGGAATAGAAGTCTGAAGCTTTAATTTTTATTTAATAAGTAATTTCATAGGCTTATAAAGCAAATCACAATCATATTCAGACAATATTATATTATTCAAATAACATAATTGCTTATTAGTCAAAGGCTTCTATCTAAACTTATCAGTAAAGAAAGCAATTTCAGTTTTAATCTGATATTTGATAAATTACTTGTTATATTGAGAAGAAATTCATACTTTTAGGTATCTTATTGATTCTATATATGAAATAATAGTACAGGAAAAGTTGAATTATCTATTGAATTTCTAAAAATGATTTCATTTATATGTTTATCATCAGTAATGAGATATGTTTATCAAAGTTAACTTTTATAGAATTTAATTCATAAAAGATTTGAGTAATATTAAGGATGCTAAATATCAAATCATAGTTATTTATAATCCAAATCATATCATTTATGTATCCTAAAATAAGAACAGTAATATAAAGATTTTTTTTTACAGATTTATTCATTGTATGTATTATAAAACTAAGTTCAGATTGCTTAATTCTATCAAAACGTGATCATAATAAATTACTCAAAGCAAAAGAGAAATGAATTCTCCTTGATTAATGCTAATAATGCTAATGAGAACTTCAAAAGGATCAGTAAATCTAAAATTAGTAAAGACTTTATTAGTTCAATTAAAAAATAAACTAGCAATAAAATTAATTATTTTTTCAGAAACCTTTAAATGAATAAAAGCATATTTAAGCATGTATATTAACTCAGTCAAAGGTTTTAAACATATCTTAAAAAAGAATTTAGAGTTTTTAGTTGTAATTACTATCAAATTTCATTGTAGTTTATGATATTCCAATAGATTATTAATAATATAAGAGGTTCGTTTATGAATTGATGTAAAAGCTCTATAAACTTAAAACCAGTAAGAGTGTTTTATAGAATAATAGCTTTTTGTAATCTGTCATTAAGAATGTTTTTTTAACTGTTTTTAGTAGTGTGATGAGTTTAGTATTATTCAGATCACAATTCTATAGTTTAGGCTTAAAAATGTGATAAACGTGAGCTATGTCTACTATTTTAGAGTAAGTGCAAAAGTAAAGCAAGTACTAATGATTTTAAAGAGAAATTTGTTAGCAATCAGTCTCATTTTCTTAAGGAGTTTATTAGAAATATTTGATAGGTAAGAAGCTTTATTATTAGGCAAATGTTTTATAATGAAAAGCCATTCATCATAAGTAGGAGGATCAAGTATGTATTCATAAGTATAAACATTAATATATGAAAGCAGTTTGTAGAATTCCTATCATTAGGACCAGAATTTTGAGAAACTAGTTAATAGGAAATCTGTAATTCAATATTTTTTGAACCAGCTGCATTTTAGAAATGTAAAATAGCAGTTTCTTTAATTCTATTAGGATCTAGTTCAAGAAAAGGTCTTGATTAGATTTATTGATAAGAATTTTATTAAGTAATATAATTTGCCTAGATCTTTTGAGGCAAGAGTTAATCATTTTTAAGGATATATTTCTATAGTTTGCAGCTCTTTAAGTAATAAAAGCTTTAATATAATCATTATTTTCTTTCTTTGAAATAATTTTTTGTTTACATTTTAATAGTTTAATAATAGATGTTTTGAGATTCTAAAAGTAATCTAACAATTCTTTTTGATAAATAATGAGTCTAGTAATATAGAAAAAATAAGATATTCTGACATGATTTTAAGAATATTTGAATGTCCATCTAGTGTAATAATAAACTGAATATTAGAAAATATTGTATTACTATCTATATTTTCTTTATCTATATATAATTAGATTTTATAAAAGATTTTATAAAGTTTCTTAATTTGTTTGTATATAGCTAAATTATTAAAGCTGTAAAGATATTTGTATTTCAAAGTAGTAGTAGATTGGAAATGTGCTTATTGAATACACACATAAGAGACTGAACGAAAAATTTCTAAGCATGATTAAAGGTAGTCTGTAAAAAACTTAAACCATTAATGTCACAATTATAATATTTATCTAATTTTCTGAAAAAAATTCCCAATGTAAAAATGCAGTTTTATCGAACTTATATGATTTACGTATTATTTTGTATTATTTATAATATACAATAGATGAATTATTGAAAATATTATTTTTGTAAATGGTAAAGTGTAGAGGAAGATGATTAGAATCATAAATTATACTAGAAGAATTAAAAATTTTAAAAGAAGTAAGATCATGTAAAATTAATGAAGAAGTAAAAATATAATCTAAATGTGATTAAGTTTTTATAGATGATAAGGTAAATGTATGAGGAAGTTTTTGATATCTTCAGATAATAATAAAATAGTATGGATAAAATTAAGATTATACAGTTGATCAATAAAGGATCTTCTCATTTTATTTTACTTAGTTGGATTCAGTAATTATTTTATTTTATAATAATCAACATTAAAATTACCTATCATTATAATGTAATAATACTTGGCCTGAGCTTCCAAAATAAGGTTGATAATAGTGATTTCAATAAGGATTCTTAATTTTAATTAACCTTTGTCAATAGTATTTGCTAAAAGATAAATTTAAAGAATTCAAATTTTAGTTATATTTTTGAACTGCATATTGATATATATAATATGATCAAATAGAAATTTATGAAAAAAATATGGTTATAAAGATATGATCAAATAATAAAACCTACATCCTGAAGGAAGTTAAAGGTTATTAGAAGAAAAAATGAATTTGTAGAATTAGTGTGAAAATTAAGAGAATGACAAAGAGCTTGTGTTGAACTTAAATGAGCTTTACTTAGGCTTAAAATGTATAAATTATATGTTATGAAAAAGTGTTCAATTTAATTTATTTTTATATTAGAGACGTAATTCTAAAATTGATTAAAAAATTAGAATCATTACAATATGAATGGAAATTATCATTTGTTAGAAATTTTTGGCAATTAATTAGATGTATTTGATGGACACCAGTATTGGAATTGATTGATTATATACTTATTAATAGGAGTTTAAATGATAGAGCGTAATATAACTAAAATATACGAATTTTACATCCTATGAAATTTCAACTAAATTGATTCTATTAATATCATTTGTTTGTATGTTTGAGAAATTAATTAATGAAATGTAAGATGATGATTCATTATGATCATTAAAGGAGACTGATGGTTTAAGAGACACAATTTTCATTTCTTTTTCATTATTGTGAAGAAGAAATTTATAGGTAAAATCATCTAATTGATTAGAATTATGTTTTATGTAATGCATAAATTTAAAATGATTAAAATGAAAGTTAATATTCCTTTGATTCTATTCTTGTTTAATAATTGAATTTTTAAGAGTGGTAAGTTCGTTGTAGTTTGCTATAATCCTTATTTTATAAATGTATATCATTTTTGAGTTTGATAAACTTCAATATAGCTTATACTTTCTTGATCTTTTCTACCACTTATCATCAAGAGGATTTGTTTTACAAATTAATATTTAATTACTGAGAATCCTTTCTTCATTTTAAGCGATAATTTGTCTTATATTTTCTTTACAATGTTATTGTTATTTAAGTATTCATTATTATTTTTTCTAATATTATATTTCTTCAGAGTTATTGTACTATAAATATCTTCTATTTATTACTTCCATTTATTAATTCTGAATGTTTTTTTCAAATGTTACTTCTGATTATTACTTTTGAATGTTACTTTTGATTATTCTTCTGAATGTTTCATCTGATTATTTCTTCTGAATGTTACTTCTGATTATTCTTTTGATTATTTTTGCTGTATGTTACTTCTGATTATTACTTCTGATTATTCTTCTGATTATTTTTTTCTGCATTTAAGTATTCATTAATCTACATCATAATTTCATTATTCTTTGTGAGTTTTATTTTTGCATAATTTTATTAATGTTTTTCTAAAATTAAAGTTTATATACAAGCGAAATAACTTTGTTTATTTCATAATTTAATTGTTTAATAATTAATTAAAGTATTCATTTTTATTTGTGTTAAAAGTTTATTTATTAAAATTATTATTTTTTTTTTATTATTTAAAAATCAAAAATGTTGTTCCTTAGGAGAATACAAAGAATTTATATAATAAATTTATATAGTAAAATGATGAATAAATGACTACCTGTGATGATTAATTTAATTAATTGCTATATGACATTTAAATTCTCTAATAAACATGTGATAATAATAACTACATATGGGTAGTATGCTATTAAAATTGAGGTACAAGACATAGTAAATCATCTGATCTGTACCTCAATTTTAATAGCATACCACCCATATGATGAATAATCTAATTATTACTATGTAATATTTAATACTCACTTTATTCTGCTATTTTTCTTTTCTATTCTAAATTTCATTTAATTTTATTTTTGAATTTACTTTTTTTTCTTCTGAATTTAATCTCACTTCTATCCTTATTTTATAAGCGAACTTCCTTTTATTTTTATAATGTCATATGTAACCTTTATGTTACATAAGCTTTCATGAGGTCTATTTCATTATTTCTAATCATTGTACTCTTTGTGTAATCTTTCTGCATATTTGTATTACTTTCAAATTATTACTTTTCAAATATTTTCTAAGTCTTTCTATAAAACCCTCCATTCGGTCTTTTAATTATCCATTTTCTTTTAGTAACTAATTTATCTGAATTATTGTCTTCCCAAATTTATCTGTTTTGTATAATCTTTCTTTTCAATCTGTAATTTATCTGAGTATTCTTCTTTCTTTTAATAAAGTATTATTCTTTTTATTATTTTATAATTTCTCTTATAATTTGTCATGTAATTTTATTGATTATTGTCATACTTATTACTACACTTTAAATTATGAAATTGTTGATTCTACATAGTTATTAATTAAAAAAAGTTTATTTACAATATCATCCAATTTTTTTGAATAACTTTTAGGGTATATAGTATTTAAAGAAATAATATTGCTCTTTTCATTAGATGAATTTGAAATCTTAGAATCTGTAAGCACTTAAAAGTATGATTTGAATAGATCTTTATTATTACTATAAAATGATCTTAGAAGTCAATATTACTCTGATTTGAACTGATTATAAAGTAGGTAATAAGGATTAGCAGGTTTATGATTATTACAATCTTTAAATTCGTGATTATAAGTATCATAACTTTTACAGTATTTTTTGGATAGTTTTATCCAATATAGGATTTTTTCTTTGAATTTTTAAGATTGTATAGCAGCAGTGTCAACACCTTCAATACCAAAAATAATGAATGCATGTGATCTAAATCAGTATTATTAATTATGTGATATAATACAGGATTTAACTTTAATATAAAGTAGAAAATCGATGAGTTGTTATTGATTAATATTAAAGGTAAACTCATAAGTTTCAATTCAAATTGCTATCTCAAGGCAATTTGCATAGAATCTAAGTCAGTAAGTTCTATTCTCAGGAGAAATTCTAAAAAGGATATAGATTACACTTGGTCATAAAATTGTTTAATAAAAATGGGATCTTTATACATAATAAATATAATCTGCTAGGATCCTCTGATAATCATTGAAAAATAAGAAAATTGTCATATTTGATAAAGTAATTTCTTACTACATTAAATTTAATAAATAAGGTAATATCAGATATTTTGATAGTTCTGCTTTTTAGCATCTTACCTTAAAAGTTAGAACTAGTTTAAAAATTCTTAATTGATTAATAACTAGTTAAAATATGCTTTAATTAGTTAATTAACCAGTTAAATTTAATTCAGGCTGGCACTATAAATTTAAGCAAAACTAGCGAAATTTTATAATTATAAAAATTTTTAATTCTTTCTGAATATTAAATTTTGGCCAGTATTGAGATTAAATATTTTGACCAGTTAAAAAAATCTTTAAATAATTAATATGATAATGCTTTAAGTGATTAATTAGCTGGTTAAAAATTAACCAGTTCTAACTTCTATCTTGCCTTTGTTATTTACCACTGGATTAATAATGATAAAAATATAATTATATTATGTTTCATGTTTTTGTGATTGGATTTTTAGGAAGTTTATCATGTCAAAATAGATAAAAAATTTTCTTTAGAAATATATGATGAACCTTAATAACCATTATAATGAATGAAGAGAAAGTTAACAAATGTGTATTTTTTACCTATAGAATTCCTTTTATATTCAAAGTATTATTAATCATATAAAAATTTATAGATTAATGATACTATTCGAAACCTATTTTAATGTGTAACTTAAAAATTTAGAAACTATTTTGAAAACTTTAAAATGACTTTTTTTTAAATCTAAAATTTGATGAAACATAATTAAGTTTAGGAAAACTTATTAGAAGTTTAGATTAGATAAAGATATTTATTATAAATAAATAGTTTTATCTCAAATATCTTAAAATTCAAATTTTCTAAAAATAGTTTAGAAAGGCATCTTTAGTATAGGTATAGTAATTATATTGAAAGAAATTTCGTTATTTTCTTGTTTACATAATTTGTTATTATTTTTTATTTCTTAAGATTAAGTATCTTTTTACTTTTCTTTATTAGTAATAATTTAATTTATAATTGGATGGATTATGTTATTATTATTATTATTAGTGTTAGAAAAGCTGAAGATATAAAAAGAATTATAAGTAGTATTTTTTTTTGAAATAAGAAGAATATCGATATTTGAGTCAAAAGAAGTTGAATCAATATCTATAATATTCATAGTTTTTGGATTTTTTGTTTTAAATGTTGAGTTAGTAGAAGAAGAAATACTATTTTTTCTGGTAATTATATTGTTAATAGTTTGTTCTAAAGGAGTTTCTAAGTTTTTAGAAGAAGTATCAAAAGAAAGTTTTATTTTTATTTGTTGTTCAGTTTATTCAGTTTGTTCTATTATTAGTGTTATTGTTGTTTTATTTATTATTTAAAATAGTTATAGAAGTTTTGCAAGTATCTTTATTTTCGTTGTCTTGTAATAGATATTTTTAATAATTTTTGGGAAAAAGAGAAAGAGATTTTAATATAAAAAAATTATTATTTTTTTAAGATACTTTGATGCTAACGTTAACCTTTATACCAAGCCTATTCATCTAAGTATACCCTATTAAGGTGTATGCAGTTCAAATAATCTCAGGTATTTCTTTATATTTCAAGTTATTTATAATGTCAGATGTATTCTCTCAATATACCTATCTAGTATATGATATCTTAACCGACAACTGAAACTGCTTATTGTAATCTGAATTAGATACTTAATATCAAGAGTACTATTAAATTTAAATAGAAAGAACATTTCACTTATAATAAATATTATCATTATTCTTACCAATAATCTAATAAACTATAGTCAGGATCTAATTACTTAGTTTAGTTTAGATACAACTTTATAAAGAGTTCCAAAATTTATGAGATAGTACTCCAAGATTTGCTCAAACATTAATCTTAAGTTTTGTATATAAATCATATTAACTAGGTGATTTTAATATCTAGAATGTCAAATAACTCAAAATTAAACCTGATCTCTAACCCTAGTGATAGCTTGATTAAATAATGTTGCAGATGTGTAATGCAATTTATTATCTCCGCTGATCTTATCTACTAAATCCTAATCAATCACTTCCTTAAACTTTATTAAGTATTTCTGTAAGGTAAGACGTAAGATTATGTTTATTATAGACCAATCAGCTAAGGCAAAGTCTAAGATTTCATTTAAATCTATATGTTTTAAAGTTGTACAGTATTTAAGTATAATCAATATTGATCTATGAATCATCAATCAGATTTGTACGCATGTTAGTACACATGTTTATCAATTTAGCTACATATGAAATTCTTGTGAAAATCATCTAGTTTTATGTATCAGCTGATACCTGAACTGATAACCTATTACTGTGTAAAGAAACTTTAGTTTAATAGAAAACTTGTGATTTATCTACTAAGTCAGAAATGCCAATTCCTTAAAAAAAAATTATATTACTGTAATTATAAATAGGTTGAAAATTATTTTATAATTTATTTAAAAATAATGTAATTGGTGATCTGTATCACATGCTAACTCTCTAATCAGCCAATCGATAATAATTATCTATGTTAATTTATAAAAAAAAATTGTTAATTTTTTTTTTTTTTTTATAATTTCAAGCTAATGCTTTTGAACAATTATTTAAGTATACTGGTATAAAATTTATTTATGAAACTGTAGGTATTTATAAAGCTATTAGCAATCCTTTTTATAAATATATATATATATTATATTACTTCACCTTACATTTCACAGCATAATTTTACTACTTAGTTATTCAACAGATATTGAAATACTTGTATATAAATTTTGTAGAGATTAGTTAAATATTTGTTAAGTTATTTATATTTTCAAAATCAAATCACTAAAAATAACTCCGCCTTATACTTTACAGCATAATTTCATCACTTTAGTCAAATGAAGTCATCTTTAAAGTCAGTAAAATTGAATTGTTCAGCATTAAAATGCATTTTGTATTATAATATTTAAATGTAATTGAAGAAAAATGTTACATAAAAATGATCATTATTATATAGTTGTAATTATAAAAGGGAATATAAATATTATAATTTTGGGATATTAAAATTAAGTGATTATAGATAGGATATGTATTGTGATTATAAATAAGGTGATTATAGACATGTCTGATATTATTGACTTATTTATAGAATCACAAAATGGATTAATATAATAATAATAAAAGAAAAAAATAATTATTGTTCCTTCGCATCATCCGGGCCAAGAATTAGAGGTTGGAACCGGCCCAAAAATCCTTAACCGGTTAATTAACCGGTTAAATTTAACTCAGGCCGGCACTATAAATTTGGCAAAACTAGTGTAATTGCAAAAAAAATTTAATTCTGCCCGAAAATTAAATTTCGGCCAGAGTTAACATTAGTTATTTTAACCGGTTAAAAAAAATCTTTAACCGGTTAACAAGATAAACGTCCTTCTCACTCCTTCTTCTCCAGTTTCTTCTCCTCCCCGCTTCTTCATCTAATTCTTCACTTTCTTCCCCCTCTTCTTCCTCTGCTCCTTAAACGAAAAAATTTATAAAAGATATAATAATAGTAATACTATTTTAAGACATGCTTATGAAAAAATTTTAATGGTAGCTCACCTTCTTCTAAAATTCTAATTCTTTGCTCAAGTTCTGTACTTAGAGCTAAGATTCTCGCATTAAATACTTCTGATTGAGCTTCGATTTCATTTATTCTAATTAAATTGGCTCTAAACTCTGCCAAAGTCACGGCATCCACCATACGATAATGGTGGCTCTGCATAATGTATTTCATCTTGTACTTGCTGTTCCAACAACAGTTGCTGTTGCTGTTGTGGTTGCCGTTGTTGCTGTTCTAACTGTTCATACAGTTTTCGTATTCTTTCTCGCTCTTGTAGCTCGCTGTTGTCGTTGTCTCGTTTAAAAAATTCTTTTCCATTTTTTTTTTTGTATTTTAGTTTTGTCGTCGTTTAAAAAATTCTTTTCCATTTTTTTATTTTTGTATTTTAGTTTTTGGCGACTTGAAAAGATTTTTAAAGGTGATTATTTGAAGAGAAAAAATTTTTAAAATAATAAATATAAAGAAATTTGAAAATACACTAGATCTAAACGGTACGGTAATCACAAGATTGTTTCTAATGAAGAAATATGTGTTAAAATTTTAAATAGTTAAAAAGAATAAGTTGGAGATAAGGGTGAAAATAGTAAAGGATAAGAGTGAAAAAAAAATTTCTCATATTTATTTGGTGTGTATAAAAGGGAGGAAATTAAAAAATTTTTTTTTTTGCAGAAGAGAAAAAAAAATTTAACGAAAAAAAAGAAAAAAAAGTAGATCTTTATATAAAATTGAATGTGTCTATCAAATATCCAATTCTGTATAACAAATGATCAAATACTTTTATTTCATCAACAATATAAATAATTTTTTATATATATCACCACGTTTTATTAAAGAATGGGTAAAATAAAATTATCAGGTACCCGAATTCATTTTTTACGCGAAAAGGTCTATGGCGGAAACTCGACACAGCCAGCAACAACGACAGCAACAAATACAGCAACAACAAGAAGCGCAACAATAAACAAGCGCAACAACCTCAAAAACAACCGCTTCATTTGGCGAACTCACCCATTTGAATTCACATTCACTTTGACTCCACAGCAACTTAACCTAAGTAAGTAACGTTTAAATATTGAGCTGTTGTAGCTTCAATTTGAAGTAAATGAGACACGGCATAGCTAGGTATAAATATTTATCATAAGGTGATTTCAAATAATTTGTTGTAATTATATAATTCATAAAAATATATATATATATATTTTTTTAGAAGACAGAGAAGGCGACAATAATAGGACAACTTGGAATTTTTTCTTCGTCTATTTGTCAAAGTGGCATACTCTGGATTCTGTTTCTTTTCAAGAATGTTATGGTCAAACCGAGGCTACGGTATAAGGTTGTGTGACCGTTTATGGTAGATAACTTGGTAGAATCGAATTATCACCTTTTGACTGTGGACTATTTGCTCAAGCGCAATTCTGTGTATAAGGTATTCAAATAAGGAGTGTGGTTTAGGACTTTTCGATCTGCAAATTATTCTGACATCAGTAATTATGAAATATCAATGATGAAGAATATCCGGAAAAATGGGTTATTTTCTAACGAATATTAAAGCATAATATATCAATGTGTCATAACATACTGCAAGAAGAAGCCAATGTTGATGAAAATTTCTGAAGATGAAACCTTTTCTGTAGATATTCTAGATTGGCACGTCATACCAATCAATAAAATCGAATCAAAGGCGTACATTGCATCAAGAATGACTTTATGTGACTTGGTTGTGTACCAGAAAAATAGAACAATTTTTTTGTATACATGTACGAATGTCAGTGTGTATTAACCACAGATCAAATTGGTACCAAAGATCGAAATTTTTCTTGAATTATTCTGTTACAATTATCGTCATTATGACAAAATAACCGTTCCTCTTGGATATTCATCCCATGTGGACCTTTGTGGACCTTCGTAAGTAATTATATAATATTTATTCATCCTTCTGATTAATTATGATTTGAACTGAATCAAAGCTTGTTGATGTTTCAGAATTGGTATACAAGTAAAGACAGAATTTTCCACAGGGTGATATTTTGTTTTTGGGATTCCAGTTTTTATGACTGGATATTTCAAAGATGGAAAGAAAATAAAATGAAGAGGGATTAGTAGTACAAGTCGCTCATTCAGCTGTTAGACACTTTTCAGTTGACTAAACTGTCAACTCATTATTGTATGATTAATATCAATATTTAACAAAAATTTTATATGTTGCCAATTATCAATTTTATCATAAATAAAGTTGTTAGAACAACAAAAAGATACCTATAATACCTTTAAAAACCAGCCAAAATCTGAATGTCCTAGATACCTAACAGGTCAAAATGAATGAAATGTTTATTTCATCAGAAAAATGTATAAATGCAATTGCAATTCAAAATAAGCTAAAAACTGAAGACAACATTGAAGTTGGTAAAAATACAGTAAAAAGAACCTTATGTTGAAATGGATTAAAATCAATAGTTAGAATTGCTCATATGAAATTTGCAAAAAAATATTGATCATGGATAGCAGAGTATTAGAATAAAGTTATCTGATCAAATGAGTCAAAATTTATGATTTATGAATGAAATGGTAAAGAATATTGTTAAAAAATACAAAATGAACTTTTATGTGATCATTATATTAAACTAAATTTTTAAATTTAGGTGGGTAATATTATGGAGGGTTGGTAACATTTGCTGAATTTATAGATATACAGTCATACCTCTCTATAGCGAATTTTTATATAACGAATTTTTTGGACAACTACATTAAATTTACCCTCGTTATAACGAACTAGCCAATCAAATTCTTTAAAAAATTCACTATAGCTCTATAGCGAAGTTGAAGTTCAGAACATAAAATTCGTTATATCAAGGGTTGACTGTATGAATAGTGATTTATAAAGCCAAATTTTGTAGAAAACCTTTTAAGGACCATCAAGTGGTATGGAATGGATAAAGTTAATATTATCTTTTAATAAAATAATGATACTAAACACTGCAAATCTTATTAAACAATAGTTTGAGAATAATAGAAAAAGTTCTTGATTGGTCAGCACAGTCCTCTGACTTAAATCTAATAGAACGAACATCTTTGGAATGAATGGATCATTATTTGAGGTAACTTAAAATACCTGTTAGAATACAGGATCAATTGTGAGATGCAATTCAAAAAATTTGAATTGAATTGGGATTTAATATATGCAAAAAGTTGGTTGATATTATGCTAACTTATTATAAAGGCTAATAATAATTACCAAAGTTTGAATATAAAAAAATTGTTTTTTAAATTTTTTTTTATTTAAAAATTTTAATAAAATATTGGTTTAAAGAAAGATATTTATAATTTACATTAAATAAATATTTTTTAAAGTTTGATTTTATTATTATGCAATAATTTTTATATCATCAAATAAATTTATTATACATAGTTATCTAACCATATATTAAAATTATCTTAAGAATCAATAAACTCTAATTGTAATATAAGCATTATAATAATTAAAGACAAAAATACAAAAAAAGAAAAAGCTCATGTTATTTAAATACAAAATACTAAATTTATAATAAGTTATAACTATTTAAATTAAGTGAAGCTAATAAAACTTATTCATATGAAATGAATTTTTCCCAAAAATTTGAACATAGTTTATTTTTGATATGTCATAACTTGATAATAAGAAATAAAAATCTTAAATATTAAAGACCATTTCAGCAAATTTCCAAAAACTTACAAATATAATACCAAATTAAATCAAATATCACAGTTAATTGGATTTAATTATTCAGCTAAAAATTCTAGAAAAATAAATAATATTAATAATAATATTGATGAAAATGATAATAATGATAAAAATAATGATAATGATGAAGTAGATGAATAAAAAAAATTATTAAAGTAGAATTGTAAACCTATTGAAAGGATAGGTTAATAGAAGAAAGATATTTAATATGAAGGTAATATTTTTTAATTTATATATTATGTTGAATATTATATTTATTAAAACATAAATTTTTTTTAAAAATACATTTTGATTACTAGAATTCCTCAAAATCCAATTGAATCAAATATTGAAGCAATTTGAATTTAATCAAATTGAATCAAATTGAATCAAATATTTGCCAAATCGAATCAAATTAAATATGGGAGCGTTTCCAGTAAAATCACATTACGGATCATATGATTTACTATGCCTCATAACTTGATTTTACTGGAAACGTTCCCATATAAATTTTTTTTAATTTTTACAATGATATATTAAAACTTTAAAATAACTTTATTTTAATTAAGAGAATCATTAGTAAATTGCAATAAAAAATTTCAAAGATAGCTTTTACAAAGTAAGTTTAGTAATAGGAGAATTTTTACTAAGAAAAATTTAATAAAATAACTCTGTAGCTTTAGTTTTACTAAGAATATAACTTCATAACTTCAGTTTTATTAAAAAAAATTAGTAATAATCACTATTACAGCTTCAGTTTTACTAAGAAAACTTAGTAATAATTGCTATTGTGACTTCAGTTTTATGGTTTTCTTAGTAAATAATGTATATTCAAAGCTATAATGATGTTTTACTATTTATTTCTTAGTAAAAAGATTTTTCAAAGCTATGAAGACATTTTTTACTATAGTTTTCTTAGTAAATATCACCTCTAAAACTTTGAAATTAATTTACTATTTGATTCAAATCAAATCAAATATTTGAATACTTGATTAAATTTGATTAAATCAAATCAAAGATTATTTTGGATTTGATTAAATAAATCATTTTTTAATTGAATTTGATTGAATCAAATCAAATATAAATTTGTATTTGTATTTGATTTGATTTTCAAATTGAATATTAGAATATCAAATCAAATTGCAGAATTCTACTGATTACTATTTATTTGAGATTCTTAGAGAAATAATTAGAAGGATTTATAAAGTCAATATTTCTAAAAATAAAAATAAAATTATAATTAATTAAATTATTATGAAATTAGTGTTGCTATTTGAAACTAAAATTCTGTAGTTTAATATAATTAAAAATAGTTAAATTAAATATCAAACTAGTTGAGTTAATAGATAAAACTACTAAAACTAGTTTTATTTAATTGAAACTAATTTTTAGTAGTTTAGGATAGCATTCTTATATGAAATACTACGCATACAATGAACTCTTGATATAACGAATTCTACGATCT